TCTGTGTTAGAGTTTAATAGAAACTATTTTTAAAACTCTTTTCTATCAATTAATAAATATTTTTTATATTAATAATTCTTGTCTAATTAGATTTTCTTTTATTAAAAAAGTCATAATAAATAGATAAATAGGTAATTTGTGTTAGAGTTTTATAAAAACTCTTTAAAATTTTTTTTTTATATTAATTAATAAATAATTTTTTTATATTAATAATACTTGTCTAATTAGATATCATTTTATTAAGAACTCATAATAAGTAGATAAATAAGTAATTTGTGTTTGAGTTTTATAGAAACTCTTTAAATACGTCTTTGTATAGTGTAATAGAGTTTTATTGAAAATAAAATAGGTAATTTCTAATAGAGTTTTATTGAAAATAAAATAGGTAATTTCTAATAGAGTTTTATAGAAATTATTTTATTTTCTTTAAATATATTCTTATCTAATTAGATTTAATTTTATTAAGAAACTCATAATAAAAGCTAATTTGTGGTAGAGTTTTAGAAAAATTATTTTATTTTATATATCAATTAACAAATATTGTTTATATCAATAATTCTTGTCTAATTAGATTTTCTTTTATTAAAAAATTCATACTAATAAATAGATAAATAGGTTAATTTAAATTTTATTAGGTAAATTTTAGGGTTTTATAAAAACTCTTTTCATATCAATTAATAAATATTTTTTTAATAATAGTATAGATAAAAACTCTTTTTAGATCAATTAATATAAATAAATTTTTATATAAATAAATAAATACTGAAATTCTTTGGCAGAGTTTCTGTATTTTACTCTGAAATTCTAGATTTTTAGAATTCTCAATTTCTGTATCCCTTCCTCTTTCTTCAATGCCTCTATTTATAGGCTTTTTAGATTAATATGATAACATGTGTTCTCTCCTGATAATGACATAATCATAACTGGGTCGGGCCGGTTATATTGTGATAATTATCCATAAAAATTAACCATTCTTTTTATATCAATTAATAAATATTTTACTGTGATTGATTTTATTAGGTAATTTTTAAGTTTTATAGAAATTATTTTTATAAAAACTTTTTTTATATCAATTAATAAATATTTTTTTATATAAATAAATAAATAAATACTGAAACACTGAAACTCTTTGTACATTTAATAATAGTGTATATATATATATCACACATTGTTCTTTGTTGAAAATCCTTTAAATTTTTTTAATTAGTTTTGATCACGTTGATTTATTTGGAGTGCGGATTAATATTCCAAAAATAAAATAGGCTATTTAAAGCAATGGACAAATGTAGCCTTAATTAATTTTAAGTAACCGCTAATTATGCCTCCAAACGTCAACGTTTCCAACGTCAAAGAAATGACCAAATCAACCTTCTTTGTTCGTTAGGGGTATCTCTCTTCCCCACATGTTCGTTCCTCTACAAATTCGAAAGGAACCTCAGTGACATCGTTTACCATGAAATGCTCTTGGGCTATTTTTTTAGCAAATAAATAAATAAATCTTTATTTAAAGACGAAGGTTCTGCTTGAATGGAAGAAGAAAAATGTTCTTTTTCCAATTTTTGGGTAACCATCTGAAGTGAATTTTCCCAAAAAAATAGTGGATTAAGATTTGGGTCATACGTTTACCGAAATTGAAAAGCCAATTGAAAAGGGTTAAAGCTTCATGCTTCCAACACAATGAAATCTCAGAGTGGGCGCACAGGAGTGAACAGTAGTACTCTTTATCTTTTGTGTTACAAGTCTTCACTTTCAAATGGTAAATGGAGTTGGGTAGAACTAGGTTCAATAATATGTTTGGGAGCACCGAATTATTATAGAAATTTGGTTAAAAAATAAAATTTTCTTAGATTTTAAATCTTATTTACCGATTCAGTACTCCCAAACCCAATATCAATGTAATTCGACAATAGCCCAATAATCACTCTCAATAAAACACAATAACAAGAAAAACTTATTTTTTATTATTTCAATTCGTATGTCTTTTTGCTGGAGGGAAATCAACTGATGAAAAAAATCTCCATCGATATGATAGGTTAGTTCCATGATTTTTTGTATGATGATTTCCATTTCTTCTTTTCTAAAAAATGCTGGGGTCGGAGGTCTACCTTATTTTGTAAAGAAAGTACGTGAAAGGAGGGCTGGGGCCTGGGACTCCTATGCAGTGGGGTACTTTTGTCATTTAATTATTATTAAAAACGAGCGCCTATATTTTCTGTATTAATTAACTGGTTTAGTTTTACAGGTTGTGAAACATTTTCATTGTACTCTACCTAGAGTGTTTTTTTTTTTTTTTTTTTTTATAATCAAAATATAATAAGCTTTAAAATCATATCATACCCTGATAAGTTCAAAACAGTTCAACGAGTTAATTATCAATAGATCCGTTGGAATTAAATTGTTTATTTCAGAATTTTGATAGTTTTTAATAAACTGCTCACAAGGTAAACTTAAAAACTTGTTTAAGAGCTTTATTTATTAGCAGTTTAGCATTCACTTCAAATGCGAAAAATTCACATGGAATACCATGTAATTTCTCCCTTTTGCTTTATTTGAATGAATGGATTTTGTTTTCTATGTTTCTGTGATCGGAAATTGATGCGGCCAATTTATTCATACGGGATTAAGCCGTTGAAGCGATCCGGTTAGAGAGTATTAGAGAAGTCTTTGCCGTATTGGCTTAGGCAGTTGAGAACATCTTTGAAAAGCCAGACATTCGCTTTCAACATCAACATCACGGAAAAAGTAGGAAACAAATTCTAGTAACTTATGCAGCTAGTGAGCTTCAATCAACCTGTTATTTGACGAAGTAATTAATTATGTGATCTGGCCATGTCATTATCAGTCAAAAAGAAGAGCAGCTCGGCTCATTTTCTCAATAAAGTGTATGAATTAACAAATCAGTAAAGAGTCCATTTCAACTACAAATATTCAATTTGATCACACTTTATTCCTTTGTACCTAAGCATGGTGCTTTTAAAGACACCACGTGCATGTATGGATTTAAAATTTCATTGCCCATATTCGGTAGTTAATTAAAGGGTAAATCACAATGACCTTACCTTGGCCTAATTGCAACTAAATTTAAGATTTGTTATTTTTTTTTGCAAAGACCCTTAATGTCAGATTTTGTTATGAATTTACTCCTCTACCCTCATTATTATATTATTAAAAATAATCAAAATATTTAGAAATAACAAATGACTTTTTTGCCCCCAAGCACTTACCCATTATTCCTCTTTCCTCTCCTTCGCCGCCAGTTTTCACGTTACTGAATTTTTAGGGCTCTTCACCGAATTTCTTATTGTTGAAGCTCTCAGGCTCTCGGTTTGTCTTCATGTTGCTGGAATTCTTGTTGAGGAAGTGCTTGCAGGTCAAGAGGTTGTGGAAGCAGCGGACGACGGACTAGACGGCGGAAATTTGGCGGCGATGGTCTGGACGACGGCGGAGCAGCACTGGTTGGGTCCGATTGCGTGGGTGTGGTCGCGTGAGTGTGGCCAGGGACGGTGATGGAGAGAGGGACGCGCCATCTGTTTCGAGCTCAAAGTGCGTGTAGTCGTGTGAGATGTTGTTAGGGACGGTGATGGAGAGACGGACACGACGCGGATTTCCCTGAAAGTAATGGTTCTGTCGGCGGCTGCGCGTGGTTGTGATGGTGGTGCTATTGCCCATGGTCGTATATGCAAACCCATGAAGAAAAAGTCTCGATTTGGGGCTTTTCTTCGCCGGAACTGGAACAGGAATCAGAGAGAATTAAAGATGGGTGGGTGGGTGGTGGTTCATCGGAAAAATCAAGCTATACAAAATCAATATTTGTCTTCAAAATTAATCAAAATCAAACCCTAAAATTAATGCAATATATCATTACATTGATACAATATTGAATATAAATGTATATACATATATGCCAGCTAATGAGAAAAAGTTAAAGAGGAAAGAAGACTAGTTTACTGTTTGTAGGCTTGTTGACAGTTTGACCATTTGAGAGGTAGTCTCATGAGCATGTCATTACACAAAGATACGCTATTATGTTTTTTCTGGGGTTTGGTTTTGTATTGACATCTTGTGGATTGTATTGTGAAGGAATGGCTACCAGGAGATATGGGGTATCTGATTGTGGGTTTAGTTTCTCTGTGGGTTTGTTTGGCAGCGACGGCGGCTACCGGTGGAGTGGTGGTTGCTCTTGTTTTTAAGCATGTTTTTTTTTTTTTTTTTTTTTTTTTTTTTTTTTTTTTTGTTATTCCATATATTATAAGGGTAATATGATCTTTTAGACTTAGTTGATGGGCATTTTAGTCACTTCAACCAAATTTTTGACAAAAATTATGAAATTTTGTACGGAGGGGAGGTCTTTGCAAAAAATTGCAAACCTTAGGAGGACTTGTTGCAAAAAAATAATAAAGTTCAGGTTTAGTTGCAATTAGGTCAAACTTCAGGGGAGGTCATTGTAATTTGCCCTTAATTAAATGCCTTCAATTTAAAGTATGACAAAAGTGGTGAACTGTAATTTGACTGCAAAATTCCAAAGCAACTTGATCTGCAAAAAAACAGTATTCTAATTTTACCTCCAGTCCTGTCCAGGTTCTCCAAGTACAAGCCAATGCACAATACCAAACAAAAAAGAGATATACATTACCATTTCAAGTCCAACCTCAACAAAAAGGATAAAGACCATCCAGTCTGTAAAAATACTTGCCCAATGTATCACATGTTTATTCAATCCATTAACTTCCATGCAAATCATATTCTAAGATGAATTAGAATTTCCCAAAATTTTCAACCAAGTATCTGGCTAAAACCACTTTCTAGGTCAGAAAATGAAAAACAGTGATGTCAACAAGTAACTTCCAAAATTGTATCCATGAGTTCTTTCACAGAAGAGCACCCTATGGAGGTTTATTCAAGTCATTAAACAGGAGCCACTCTTCCGCCAAATCTCCGTGCAACAACCAATTTGAGATGGACATGATGTTAGTCAATGTGCCGATAAGAACTGTGAAATCCAACTACAAAACCATGATGACATGTTTCAGCATGGCGCGCAGGCTCAAATAACAGAACCTAAGAATTTGACGATATAATTAAAGTATCATGTATGCTACAAATTCTTTAACTATGAGGCCAATACATACAGGGGCAAGTGTTAATATAGCACGTGATTTCCTACAGCTACAAATGGGAGAGACTAGCTACAAAGCAAGGTAATCAATATAGTCACACTGCTGCTAACAAGTATCAGAACCCAACCTCTACTAATCTGGCATACCTTGCCAGACGTAGAGGCTCCAGAAACCACCAAGGCTCTCTCTGAAACTAACTTGATGATTGCAATAAATGCAAAGGAAAAGCTCACGGCTAGCACAGCAAGCTCCTTATTTTCCAGACTTGCTTGATCACTTGAAATCTTTTCAACGTCTAATCTGCAATAACAGATTTTTGAGATCAAATGGGGGTAGGAGGAGGAAAAGCATGTAGTATATGGTAGATGGACAAAAACAAAGGCAAAGAAATTTTAAGAAGTACAGAGAAAAAAAACGACTACTCATTCATCAAGCCACATCAAAAACACATTTTGGCAAGACTGTTCTTCCTTGCATGTCATTCATAGTGCATGCCATCCGCATTAGACAAGCAAATTTTGGAGGGCCGACTGTTCCACAACAAGGTGAGTAACAGGTATGAATGCACGGCACTACACGATAAATTGGATTACCATGTCCTATTTTCAATAGAAGGTTTAGAGAACTCCATGGTGACCACTTGCTTAACAAATTCTGACCTAGTTTATTATACCATCTTCTTCCTGTTGTCTACCACTCCCATTTCATAGATGCGCTCCGAAAATTTAAACTCGTGTTGTTGTAAAGTTGAAAAAAACACATTTCTTCACCAATTTGGGATAGCTACGCTTTGTTGCAAGGTTGCTTAACTCTCCTATTAGAGCTAGGAATTCCTCTAACCCCTTATTTGACTTCTATGAGTTAGGAATTTTCTTACCATACTTTCTAGATACTGATACTTTGATCATTTCCAACACTGTAGCCAACATGCTCAGCAAACTCCCCACACCTCTCCCTGACACCCTACAAGTCCAACTTTTAAGAACAAACTTATCCCAAGATCCACTCACCAATACACCTTCTCCACAAACTGCCCTATGTATGGAAAATCTCCAGTCATTTGCTCAACAAATGTTATGAAAAACATGAAATCCTCTCCACTTGTAGGTAAATAGATTCTGCACCTAATCCTTCCCTTCCCACACTGCCTTAGCTTTAAAAGAGGAGGGGAGAAAAGGGGAAGACCCAAGTAAGAATAGGAAGGGAGCCACTCTAAACACAAATTCATAGCCAGGGCAAAGACATCCTCCACCTCCTCAACTGGAATCAACTCAATTCTTCACAATTCAGTTTTAGCCCCAAAACCGCCATTGAACATTGGAGAATACGTCTGAGATATCTCAACTGCCCCTCTTCTGTCTCATAAGAGACAATCATGTTTTTAGCAAAAATGAGAGAGGAAACAAAGATCTAGACCACTCACGATTCTCCAAGGAGAAATAGCTCAACTTACCTCCCGACAAAATAAGTAACAGCTAAAGTTCAAATGTGAATTACCGGATAGATGCACATTAACACAGAATTTCAACCTTGTATGGTTAATCTTCCAAATGGCATGGCTTCGTTTGTTTAGCAGGAGAAGAACTACACTACAATGATGATACCACGTCATCAAGCAGATGTTATATCACCAATCAATTATACCTCATTTTATAAGTATATGGGGCCTACCCAATACATGCAGTTGGTTACATAGCACTTAATTCAAATGCATATATGCATGAATCCCACACTAAATGTCAAGATTTAATAAAATAGCAGCAAACGACTTAGTATCACCCTTATATTGTTGTTTAACTCGATTAGCAAAAAGTTATGAGTGAGTGCAGGATTTTTTGTTTAAGAATAATTCCGGGGAAAGTAAGTTAATTGCTTAATTTTCCCAAAAGCTTTATTAGATAAAACAAAAAAAGTGGCATTTTCTAGTAAACTTTCATGTTCTTCAAATCATAGAATGGTGTTATCCAACAACATTTTTGTGATTTTTTCTCCTAGGCAAATAAATGCAAGAACTTGTATTTTATCTTCACTTCACTTTCAATTACTTCTACTTTCCAACATTACCAAATGAAGCCTAGGAATAATCAACAGATACTCTTTTATTCTGATGCAACTTTCTAGCTTCACCTTTAATGCACTTGCTTCACTTTCAATTACTTCTACTTTTAATGCACTTGATTCACCTTCACCTCGAGTACTAGGTTCTTTGAACCTCTAGACACATGAATTGTCAAAGACATGGATGAACCAAAATGGGTTGAGGATCCATTTAACTTCCCAATCATCACAAACTTAAATTGATTACTGTAAGCCTTCGAGATATTTTATGAGCTACTCATTATCTACTATTAGAATTAGATCAAGCATAGGAAAAATCTACAAAATGATAGCTAATTCCCAACAGTTTGTTTCTTAACAATTTGTAAGAATACACAATGAAAAGCTGATGAAAATTCCAAACTAAATAAGATAAACATTGAGGGTACATAAGATGCCACAAGTCCACCTTAATAATTTTTAAGCATATTAGCCTTCACCCAAATAAAAAATTTTGGTTTGGAAAATGTTTATTCTATATAGCATTAAACAAATTATAAATTACAAAACTGATGTAAATTTGAGATAGAAAAAGTCACTTATCATTCAGTAATGATAAAACAGCGAATAAAAATATTTAATCTACACCTACAAAAAAAAAAAAAAGAAAGAAAAAGAAAAAGAGAAAAACAGTTTTAGCATAAAAGGTTTCATACAGAACTGTGGCATAGGAGGTACTAGAGCTCTGATACCATGTTTTAGTATAATCAGGAAGCAGTTTACATTGCTTCTAATCCGGATTTTCATGAGAGGACAAAACATATGGAGGAAGATTTGTCATTTTGTTAGGGAAATGATGATATAGAAACAAATTTCCACAAACAAAAGATGAGTGAGGTGATGTATCACCAAAGTTTTAAGGATTAGGGAAAGAGATAGTTCCCTTGAGTTATGTAACAAGCTAGGCAAGATATCTTTATAATCTATGGTCCAAGCTTGAAGAGGTGTATTAATTAGTAATGTGTGTCAGAGTACCAACACTGTTATTTCTAAACTTTTTCATAGGTAAATTGCAAAAAGAAACCCTTAATTGTTCATTTTTTTACAATTAACCTCCCCAAAAAAATTTACGGATCTAGTCAAATGTTGCAAATAGCACATGCCATCAAATAGCTGTTAAAGAAATATAACAGAATTTAGTCATGTTCATGGAACAACCTTTGACAACCATTATGTCCTTCAACGGAGTTTCTTGCCATGATGGTCGAGTACAATATTTCATTTGGAAACTATAAATATAAGCACCATGGAATTTTTTATGTTCAGGGCAGGTCAATAAAGAAGGCCAAAGTCACTGGGAGCCATTTACTAATTTGCCGTCGCAAACCACAATGTTGTGGGGGTAAGGATTGTCTTCCACATAAACAAGATAAGGAAGCAGATGAAATTGGTGTTGTGATGGGCCCAAAATTTCTGAATGAATCTATTCAAGCTTTTGGTTGATCAAATTTAACAGGTAGGTGTGTAAATTCTTAGGGTTTCAAAGTAAAGAAAAAGAATGAATAGATTGCAAAACTACATTGCTTTTATTGTGAACATATTTGAAATTTCATAGCATTTTATTTTAAATTATTTGAAATTTAAACAATGGAAATAATAAGGTAGTAATTTCACATTGCTCACGATGACTATCTTAGGCAGGGTTTTTATTGTACAATCCTGACAGTTCGAGGTTTTTTGTCATATCAAGAGGTTAACTACAGAAACTTCACAGTGCAAGGGGTTTTTGTTATGTAACCTTATTATTGTACCGATACGATGCTAATTAGCAATGTGTGTCAAAAGGGAAAAAAAACCTTTTTATATTTATATTTATATTTTTACTAAATGTACAAGTAGAGGACCAACCCAGTCAGGGAATACTTGCTTTTATGTTTCTTTCTTTATGTAGGGTATGGGAAGTTTCTTGAAGAAAATATATAAAGAAAAAAAAAAAAATTTGCTTTACAAATGTAATAGGCATTAATTACTTATCAAAAAAAAAAAAAAAAAAATGTAATAGGCATTAATGTTGTTCAAATCATCCAAAACAAAGCTTGTGAGATGTACTTAATGGGTCCACAACTTAGATGATTGAAATCCAATTAGATAATTCATGTGCTAGTGAGTAAAAATTAATTATACCCATTAACTTTGTAAACTACAGCTATGTTTGCCTGTACTTCTACAGTATATTTTCAAGAGAAGAAAATTTGTTTGTATCAATTTCTGGGCTTCAGCCACTTCTAAGTCCAAAGAAAGTAAGAATTTGTTTCCGATTGAACACTCAAAAATTCCCAATCAAGTGACTGGGAAGGGGAAAATAAAGTAAAATGAAAATTAAATAGCACACAACTACAACCAATCACTAGAGCTGCAATTTAGAAGTAGAATAAATGAAAATGAACCTACATGAGTAAAATGTAAATATATATATATATATATATATATATATATAAAAGATTAGTTGATAAGCTAGATGTATTGCTGACCTCAGTATGCTATTTTCTCTGATCAATGCATCCAGTTTGGATTCAACAAAAACTTTCCATAACTCAAGTTCAGTAATTTCTCTCTCCTGAAAAACAAATAAATGTCAAGCAGTTAGGTCTCTATAAAAAGCTACTAACCCTAGGAACAATCCAAAGGTCCCACACACTACATACCATAAAATCCTTCCAATCCAAGAGATCCTTGAGTACTGTTTTGCTTTTATCCAAAAGCAACGAAACTCTAGATAGCTCTTTATCAAGCTCAGGCAAAACATCACCTTGTCTTCTGTTCAGCTCTTTGATGTACTCCTCTAGCACAGATAAGTTTAGCTCAAGTGACCTCACCTTCTGCATCAAGATCTTCAGAACAGAATCACCAGGAATTCTGCTATTTGGCTGCTGTCTAACTTCCATCACAGGATCGGGAATTGTGCTGCTCGTGATCACTGAATTCTTAATCACATCATTGTTAAGCCTTTGTGCATCATCTATGCTATCTGTCCCTTTATCAGCAGCCTCAACCACATTTTGAACTGCAGCATCCCCTTTATGGTCACTTTGAGCTGATTCTCGTTTTAGGGAAAGCGTTGCAGTTGAATTAGGATTTGGCAATTTCTTATTAGTAGGATCCCCAGAAGCCACAATGAGATCTTCAAGCATCCGCTCGATTGCATCCACACCATATACCTCCAGCACACTTAGTGTGCAGTAAAATCCCGATCCATAATGACTAAGTAAACTCAACTTCAAGTACCTTACCCATTTGGGTTCAGGAAGCTTAAAGCTTTGAGCGAGCTTGACATTTGTAGCAACAAAGTTACCCAACGGGTACCATGAATCAGTAGGATAAACCAAACTCCCGGACAACTGAAATTCTTTAAAATTAGAAGAATAATGTTCAAAATTTGCAATTTTGACTGCATCAACCAGAGTTTCCTCTGTAAGCTCAATCACAACGAACTTTCCCCCAACAGAACAAGGGTTTCTCAGGTATTTATCGTGATCCTTCCCCAATATGTTATTAGCTCCTTTTGCTTCCTTATTATGAGCCAGCACTTTTGCACCTTTTGATGCGGAGGCATAGTTGTACTTTGTTCCATCAGGCTCAAGCCGGTGAGTGATGTTAAAAAGACGAGTCGGTGCATCCTTTCGGAAGTTTTTTTCCTGCCTTGTTATGTTCCGAAACTCATCATAATTGAGATAAGCAGGATGAGTTCTATTAGTCAGTAGCTTTCCTGGTATGTTTTTCTTCTGTTCTTGCGGTTCTAACCCACACACTAAATCAGTGTAACCTAAAAAACTCCAAAATATTACTTCTAAATCATTGGTTTCTGCAAGTGAATATGTAGAATTCGCAGAGTTAGGATCGTGAACGGTGGAATTACTACAGTTCATAGAGGCATTGAACTCTAACAGTATCTCATTTGTATAAATCCTGCTTTTATCTTCAACTGGCAAATTCCCACTGTCACAAACCTCATCATCGCAAACATTAGGGTTCGGTATACTTCCATTGTCAGCATCCGAATTCCCTGAATAAGTTACTTTTACGTTAATAAAACAAGTAAGAATCAAATAAAAAATGTGTCCTAATCATTAAGTAACTAATGCCATTGTGTGAGAATGATTCTAGAGTTGAGATTTACAAGCACACCCGCTCTCAGGATCCAGCACACACGCACACAAACACATAAGACAAACACATAAGGTTTCATTCCCATCCAAGAACCATCTTATATCACATTTCATCACACACAAGAAACAATTGACTACATGGAGATTAAAATCATTAAATCAAAAACAAATCCAAAGTTCATACCGAAAGGCCTTGAAACGAGTCTTTCAATTTCTTACATAAATTCGTCTATATTGTATTAAATTCGAAAAAAACAAAAGGGTTTGCATAAAATTAAAAAAAATATGAAATGGATAAGAAAAATATTGCTAAAAATTACATTAATGGGTGAGAAATTACCTCCATTGCCATGGGTAAGGCCAAGTTTGGCGTAGAAGAAGAAAACAATACACCAGAGTGAAAAGAATAAAGGGAACGAGAGGTCGAACAAGCTCTTTCTCTTCTTGTTCGTTTTGATGTTGTTAACAACACTGCTTCGACAATTGACATTTAATAAGGAGTCACCATTGCGAGGTCTCTTCATCTCTGAATCGTCCGTACACAATTTTGGAGTCGCGGAGTCGGGTCGCGGACTCTCTCTGTTTCATCATCTACAGATAGACAAGGGTTTGCTCGGAAATCAATCCCAAACGACGGACTGTGTGCGGCTTTTAGGTGTTTGTTGTCGTGAGGATTGTCAATGGCGGCATTTTGTTGGCTAATTATTACTGTTCATTCCCCAACTTTCGGAAACATCATTCGGTGCCATAAATTGGGAACACCATGATCCCCCATAAGCCACAAATATCATAAGCACTGCGTTGGATGAGTTGGAGGGGTGAGGAAATAAAGGGAAAAAAGGTTATGCGGGAGTAAAAAGATTAGGAGTGAAAAAAGAAAAAGATAAAATAAAAAAAACCAGAATTTGTCATTCAAAAAATAGTTTTAAAAAATAAATATATATATTATTAAAAGTAGGTTTTCATTTTGTAACCTACTTTTCAAAAAACTGTCTCATAGATTCTTGTATAATTTTTTACCTTTCAGATCTTATAATACAAAAACTAGTTATCATTTTCTGAACCAGAGTAAAAACTGTTAAGTAATGAGAATTTAGGATTTATTCTTCTCTTGTTATTTTTATTTCTAAATATTATGTATAGTGAGTTATGGAATTGAAACAAAAATAAATAAATAAAAAATAATAATAATGACAATTATGGTTAATTTGGATACTATTGATTCATTTGCGTCATTTCTTTAATGACTCACGGTTGAAACATTATTCACATGATTACCAAAAAGGGGAAAAAAAAACTAAGAAGTAGTTGAAACATTAACCACACGAGTTCTCAAACCAAGAAGAAGAAGAAGTCAAAATAGGGAAGTTAAAAATTTTTATGAAGTATGATTAGCTTTAAAATGGAAGGAAATAGGAAATAGCAACTTTGTTAGATGATTGAATATGCTTTAATTATTAATCAATGAAGGTTAAATTTAATGAAGAATTGAAGAAGGGATATAAGTGTAACATAATTAAACGAGAGCGCCTTTATTTACAAGAAAAGGTAAAGACAATCATTTAATAATTATTTTTCTTAATTTATCTATTATTGATGTTATTAGTCTTGGTAATATTAGGTATAAGATTTACGGATTTTATTATGAATTATTGAATACATGAATTCGGTGATATGACATTAGTTCTCATTGATCATTTTCCGGAATTGTGGAAAAAAAAAAAACGAGTAATGTTTGGTGTACCAATCTCAGCGTATCTGATCTAACTTTATAACAAATGTTGTGTATTAATGTTTATGAACAATAAAGTATCCATTGTTCTTAACATTAATGCATATACCAAATACAGGAATGCATATTATGTGTATTCACAGGAAAAAAATTACACATTTATTTATGACCAAAGCTAAATAAAATTAAGATTAAATTATGAAATTAGCATTACAATTTACAAACTTTTTTTTTTTTTTTTTGAATGGTTACAATTTACGACTTTATATCTCTCTATTATTGCGTGAAAAGGGTATGTTTGCCATTTCAGTACATAATCACTTATTATACCTTTACAACAATCTTTTGCTTTTTGAGTCTGATAAGCTATTGACTTCAAAGAATCAAAGTAATGGACTTCGTATTTTCTCATAATTATCACCACATTAACCCATGACTGAGTGGCGCATTCGTGACCGTGACTATGCAGTGTCGGTTATAAACTTTTACTAGTTTGAATTAATTAGTGCGCTGATTTGGTTAATTCTATAATGTAAGGATGTGTCCAAAAGCTAATCCATTGAGCAGGTAATTTCTATTTCTCTTTTTGTTTTTGCTTGTTTATTTTTGTTTTTTGTTTTTTTGGTTTTATAAGTCAGTCACATACACTCATTCATTCTACAGTATATTATAATTATTGGGACTCAAAATTTTTAATTTTTTTTCTTTGAAAGAAAAAAGGAGAACCAGTTTTTTCCCGGTCAAAGAACAACGAAACTACAAGCAGAATATAAAAAGCATGGTAACAATATCAGTGTAATTAAAAACCTCAAACGATTCTATTATGTGAAAACCATGGTAACAAAGGGGATAGTACATGACAAATTTACTTTATTTCAAAGCAGAATATGGAATTCACTTATTTTTAAGCAAACACAACAACATTTGGTGGATTGGACTTGAAATATAGCCCACATCTTAATTTTTTCGTAAATAGTTGTGTGATCAGAACTGTGATTCAAGTTTGTCAATAACCTTCTTGTCCACTTGGAATGCCTTGGCTAGAACATCTCGAGAAATGGGTGGATTCGATCCAAAGACCGCGTTTGCAATGGTGATGACCCCCGGATTTTGGCTGCTCAAGCCAGCAAAAGCTACTGCATTAGTCTTTCCCACATTGAATTGGAAGTGAATGAGACCAATTGGGAACACAAAAACATCTCCTGGATTCAGGACCTTTGTGAAGAGAGTGTTGTTAGGATTGGAGGTGACAAAGCCCACATAGAGAGTGCCCTCAACCACAACCAGTACTTCAGTTGCGCGTGGGTGAGTGTGGGGTGGGTTGAGTCCCTTAGGTGCATAGTCAATGCGGACTAAGGATACACCGAAAGTGTTGAGTCCTGGTAGTGTATCAACATTCACAGTTGTCACATTTGATCCAACTTTATTATTTGTGTTTCCAGGAATATTAAGCCCTGAAAAGAAGAAATCTTCGGCTTTGACAAGCTTCGGGTCCTTGCAGAACTTCCCATTCACGAACACTGTAATCAAAGACATGCATTACATTTAGCTATAAGAAATCAAGTATGTTGACTGCTAGAATATACAATGAAAAATAAGGAAATGAAAAAAATATATATATGGACTGTATTTAAACTCAAAGTATATGACTATAGGCATGCATGAGAAATAAAAAAACTAAGGTCTAATGGGATATACCAGCAGAGTTGGTATTATTGATAGCAACACAGAAGTCCTGAAGAGGGCTAGGGTCGGAGGCAGAGGCAAGTGAGATTGCAGAAGCCAAGATGGCCATGGCTATAAGGAAGTGAGTGGCTGTCTTCTTCATCATTGTTAATTAAGCAGGCACAAGCAAATTGCACACTTATATTTGATGTAAACTGGACTACTCTTTGTTGGATCACTTGGGTGCTAAGAAAAGAAAGGTGGGTATTTATAGACAAGAGTCTCCTTGAGATAGTTACTTTGTTATACCTTATGTCTTCAATGACTATATTTCTTTTTAAATTTCTGGGTCAAGTCATTCTTCAACAACTATCACCCACTTTCTATTTATGTATTCCCACCTCACATATATCAACTGACAGTTACTTTATTTATTTATTTGGGTATATCACAAGAATCCAAGCACAAAAGTTTATTATTGCCTCGAACTTTGTACTCCTCCTATATAAAGAGTGGAAGTTAGTTATATCAGTTGAACTAATGGTCAATTTTAGTTCTTATATCGTGCAGTTGCTTCTTTTCTTATGATTTATTTTGAGACATATTATGGTGGACATGTTAATCAGTGGCAGACCGCAACCAACATAAGACAAGAACGCGAAACCCCACAAGTTTTTCCTGATCATTGAAGTCCTCGATGAGGAAGAAAAACAATCAAACCTCAAAATTCCAAGCCATTTACCATTTTATTTTATTTTATTTTTTTTAATTTTTACCATCTCCTCCATTACATTACATGAGGGTAATAATTCTCCTTTTCTTTGATTCCAAATCACTACCAAAAAGGATTATGCCATGCCTCCTTTAAATACATTTCAATTTATTTCATTGCCCTTTATTAGATCCATCTTAATTCTGACACATAGTGATATGATTCACTAAATAAATGTAAGGACGTGTTTTAAAACTTTTAGATTGGGATGTCCAGGGTGTACCAACCAAAAGCAAGTTATGTGGTACAGAGCCTAAACTATAAAATGTCATAGGTAAGACGGACGTGTGATTACTCAAGTTCAATCTTTGTAATTGAGACTCCAAATCTTTGTCGTCCAAAACTAACCCATATAACTCTGTACATCAGCTAACCTACATTTAACTAAATCCATACATCAGCTAACCTACATTTAACTACATTTACCTTTTGTCTTCAATGATTATATTTCTTTTTAAATTTCTGGGTCAAGTCATTCTTCAACAACTATCACCCACTTTCTATTTATGTATTGCCACCTCACATATATCAACAAATTTCTCTCTTGAATACTGACAGACAGTTTTATTTATTTGGGTATTATATATAAATAATCAAGTCCTATTTTACTTATCAAAAAAAAAAAAAAAATTATTTATTTGGGTATATAAATAATCAAACGAGTCATCCAAGTACAAAAGTTTATTATTGGACTCAAACTTCATACTACTACTCCTTTCAAGAGAGGGAAAGTTATATCAGTTGAATTAATGATCAAGTTTAGTTGTTATGACATGTTAATCAAGGGCAGACCGCTAGCAACATTAGGCAAGAACGCTAAACCCCCCAAGTTTTTCCTGATCATTGAAGCCCTCAATGAGGAAGAAAAACAATCAAACCTCAAAATTCCAAGCCATTTACCATTTTATTTTATTTTATTTTTCAATTTTTACGAACTCCTCCATAACATTACATGAGGGTAATAATTCTCCTTTTCTTTGATTCCAAATCACCACCAAAAAGGATTATGCCATGCCTCTTTTAAATGCACTTAGTCAATTTCATTGGTTAATGCTTTTGGTATATTAATGATATGGAATCACCACCTAATTAAATGTTGACACAGGACTCACTAAATAAATGCAAGGACGTGTTTTAGAACTTCCAAATTGGGATGTCCAGTGCGTACTAACCAAAAGCACGAGTTATGTGATACAGAGTCTAAACTCTAAAAGTCATACATAAGACGGGGAATGTGATTACTCAAGTTTGACCTTTGGAATTGAGACTCCAAACCTTTGTCGTAAACTAACCCATATATATAAGTTCAACTCGGTACATCAGCTAACCTACATTTAACTAAATTCGTAGACCTCAAAGCACACCTAACATAAAAATAATGTATTCAACCACATCCTGAAAAAGAAAATTACAATTTATATGTTATTCAACTTGGTATAATGTAATGAAACAAATCCAGAGTTGGTCATTATTAGTTGCACTTTACTAAGATTCTTGAAGTTTAATATATATATATTCATAACTTAACAAGTGTTTTATTTCCTCTTGATGGATGATGCTATGTAGTTTAATTAGTTTAGCAAGTCAAATTACGAAAAAGATGGATCAACTTTACTTATTTCTTGCGCAAGGCATATGATTTTCTCATTTTACAAGTACAAAGCATCATACTATAACAATATTACTTCTGTGATTTTTATTTTTATTTACTCCTCCCGTATTAATTTTTGTTGCTTAGAACTCTATAACTTTTATTGAGTTAGCTGATTTTTTCTTTTTCTTGCTATGCTTTAAGTTAGATAAGTTTAACATGAAATTGTTGAATCTGAAGATTTAAATTCCTAGATTCGAGTAATATTCACTTTTATTTACCGAAAAATAAATTCACTTTTTGAAGTTGAAGGAAAACTTCCTAATGAATCATAATTTCGAATAATTAACATTACTTTTTTAAAAAAATGGGAGCCATGTTGCACCCTAATTTTTCTTAGAACATCCTCGCATGGAGAATGTTTATGTAGTTGATATGAATGAAGATGTTATTGGAAAATATGACTTTAAATGGGACAAAATGTAAATAGGGCCTAAAGTACTATATGGAGTCCCGCCTAACATTAAATTTGGTGGGCTAGGTCATCGAAAATATATGATTATGAGTTAAATGCAATGACTTTATAGAATAACATCCATATGATCTACCGAACTAGCTAGATTAATGGATTCAGGGGTTTGATTGTACATGAAGAAGGTGTGAAGCACCGTATGTATCCATACTTATGCTTGGCTATAAGATTTCATGTGATTCTTTACGTGTGTTAGTGCATGTAGAATCTTTTGAGATTCTTTGTTGCTTTAGCCTTCCTTGGTATGAGATTAGACCTATTGTGAATACCTAAACTCATGTCTTTTTTAGGTACAAGCATGTGACTTGTTAGCCTACGACTTGATTTGGGTGGAATAACGACATAAACTAACCTACTAAAAAATGACATAGCCAGGTGTTACATACGAGAGATGCAAAATGCAGTTGGTCCTAAACTAAAATTATAAAACCCAATGTGTTTTATTCATGGAATTGAACCCAATGGTAGCCTAAAGCTGCCTATGTATCCTTAGTTAAGACAAAAAAAATCAGATCCAACATAATTCCAAGAAAGACGTATTTGAAATAAGGATATCTATCTTAATTTCAACAGAGTTTTATTTTGGAAAATAAGTTTATCAATATATTTGAAACAATAATTTGAGTGTTAAAATGATACGAGAATATCTATGAACCTTGTGTCAAATTATTCGTAAACTCGTAAATTAACATGAGTACGTATAGTGACAGAAATAGAGATACTTCAAAGGACATGCTATGGTCAAATGAATCAACACATACCTGAGACAGAAGCATTTGGGAGATCACTGTTCCTGGTCAATGTTCATGGAACTGGAGAAAACTACTTCAGCTTCGACCTGCCATCAAACCTCTTGTCCAGGTTGAAATTGGTAATGGACAACATTTCAATTTTTAGCTTGACAATTGGTACTCACTTGACCCATTACATCTCAGAACCTAATCTCAGCAAAGGTCAGACACTCATTTTGACCCCATAACACTCCTCAGCTCCTTCATTATTAACTATTCATGGGCTTTTCAGCCTCATGAATCAGTGCGCTCATCCCCTATCCTCCTACCCACCCCATGTGATCACCGGCCTGACAAATTTAAATGGATTCAATCTCCCATTGGAATGTTCTCTATCTCAAACGCTATGAACTATATCCACCTTCACTCTCCACGTCTTCACTGGCCTAAGCTTATCTGGGCTCAACCTTCCATTCCCAAACATAATTTTATTTTGTGGATAAAGCCTATGGCTCACAGGCGTTCACCCAACCTCTGCAAGCTATGTTCGAGCTCTCCTGAATCTCATGATCACATTATCTTTCAATGTTCTTATGTTAGCCCCATTTGGTCATTTATACAAACACGTTGTGCCTTATACACACTTCCCTCCTTGTGGATGATAACGGTATATTGGGCAGCTCATCACTGGAAAATCAAACCAACGAATTACAGGGCTGTTGTCTCAAATTTTTGCTTTGATTCAGTTGTTTATCATGTCTGATCTGAAAGGAATCGAAGGGCAAGTCAGGACTTGCATGCACTGTTCTTCGGCTTAATCTCGACACTGTAAGACTAAAACTGATGTCCTGCTCCTTCCATGACTTTGCTACAGCTAGGGACATCATCTCCGAATGGGAACTGCAGGCTTCAGTTCTTAGACCTCCACCTAAGCCGCCGGATTGATCGCTTTGCAGGGGATGCTCCCGCTTGTTCTGAATCCTTCTGAATCCTTCTGCTTGTTTTTAACTTTTGGGCTGGGTTGGGTTGGGCTATTGCCTTGTTGTTGTCTTCAACTGGGTCCTTTGGTCCATCCCATTTATGGGCTTGTATTTATTACTCATGTATGTATAAATATGAAATTAACCTTTCAAAAAAAAAAAAAAAAAAAATAGATTTATAGATGAGATATATATATAATTCCAAGTCTACATCGACCAAATAGAATAGGCTCTTTATTTATAGAGTTTGGAGTTGTAGCAGTTTTTAAATTATTTTATTTTATCATAAACATATACTAAACATAAAATAAAATCAATAATTTATGTCAATAAAGCCATATTAGAAACTAATCAAATAGTAATTAATTTTAATTTTTATATGAATATATGAAACAGATACAACTTGAGCTAAGCACAAAGGTCCTGTAAACCAATTATGTGCATATTTGGCTGTTGAACAGACTAATTTTTTTTAGTTTTATCAGGAGAGCCGGATGTATGGCATGAGACAAACAGTTTGCATATATTTTTAGTTGGAGCGAGAGAAAAAAAGGAGTACACGTACTAGTGTAATTGAAAAACTCTCAAACAATTACATTATGAAAAATATTGCAACAAAGAGGAAGTAGTACATAACAAAACCAGTTATTTGGTCGCAGAATATGGAATTAATCTGCTTATTTTTAGCAAACAAAACATCTTATGGATTGGACTTGAAATATAGCCCACATATAGCTTTTTAAAATTGATGTGTGTTCAGAACTGTGATTCAAGTTTGTCAATAATCTGCTTGTCCACTTGGAATGCCTTGGCTAGAACATCAGGAGAAATTGGAGGGTTCGATCCGAAGACCGCGTTTGCAATGGTGATGACCCCCGGATTTTGGCTGCTCAGGCCAGCAAAAGCTACTGCATTAGTCTTTCCCACATTAAATTGGAAGTGAATGAGACCAATTGGGAACACAAATACGTCTCCGGCATTTATGACCTTAGTGAAGAGAGTGTTGTTAGGATTGGAGGTGACAAACCCAACGTAGAGGGTACCCTCCAAGACAACAAGGATTTCAGTTGCGCGTGGGTGAGTGTGGGGTGGATTGAGACCTTTAGGTGCATAGTCAATGCGGACTAAAGATATACCAAGTGTGTTGAGTCCTGGTAGTGTATCAACATTTACAGTTGTCACATTTGATCCAACTTTATTATTTGTGTTTCCAGGAATATTAACCCCTGAAAAGAAGAAATCCTCGGCTTTGGCGAGCTTCGGGTCCTTGCAGAACTTCCCATTCACGAACACTGTAATCAAAAAACAAGTAGGCATTAGATTTAGCTATTATATAAGAATGTGACTACACGCGACATACAATGAAAAATAAAGAAATGAAACTATTTCACATAGAAATTAAAAGTACTCCATGGATGCAGCTGGAGAAAGCAAGAAGAAAGACAAATGGATGTACCAGCAGACATGGGATCAGTAACAGCAACACAGAAGTCTTGAAGAGGGCTAGGGTCAGAGGCAGAGCAAAGTGAGATTGCAGAAGCCAAGATGGCTATGGCGGCTATAAGGAAGTGATCAGTGCCTGTCTTCACCATTGTTAAGCAGGCACAAGCAATTACACCACTTCTGTTTGATGTAAGATGGATTGTTGGATTATTTGGGTACCAAAGAAAAGAAAGGTGGGTATTTATAGACACACAGTCCTTGAGATAGTTACTTCGTTATATACCCATTTCTTCAATGATTAGATTTCGATCTCTTTTTTAATTTTTGAGTCAACTCATTCTTCAACAACTATCACAAGTATCAACATATTTATCTCTGCAATAATCATAACAACAAAAAATAGCATGCACAACACATTATTCACTGTATTCAGGTATAAAATATTGTAAAAAGGTATTTGTCTACCAAATGCCGGGGAATATATATATATCGGTAAGTAACTAGTTCATATATTTAAGTTCGCCTCAGTACCATTAGCTAACCAACGTTTAATTAAACCCATTCTGAAACGCACCTAACATAAAAACAATGTATTCAACCAGATCCATGCATTTGAAAACCAAAGTTACATTTTTATATGTTATGGAACTTGGTACAATGTAATGAAACAAATCCAGAGTTGGTCATAATTAGTTGCACTATACCAAGATTCTTCAAGTTTAATATATATTATGTATTAACAAGTGTTTTCACTTATGAACGATGCTATGTTATTTAATTAGTTTCGAGACACATTCTGAAGAGGATAGATCTAACTTTAGTTATGTTATTGTGCAATAGGTATGATTTTCTCACTTTACAAATATCTTACTGCTATTTATAACCATACTTCCTTTTTTTCACTCCTGCTCCTATATTAATTTTTTTTATTTAGAATTCTATTAAAAAAAAAAAAATCTTATTTTGTCCTTGGAATTCTATAAATTATCTTAGCTGAATTTTATTTTATTTTTCTTACTATGCTTAGAACTTGTTGCATCTAAAGATTAAAAATGCTAGGCCCAAGTAAGATTCACTTCTCTCTCTCTCTCTCTCTCTCTCTCTCTCTCTTGTTTTAAGAAGTTGATGGAAAATTTTCTCATAAATCATGGTTCACATGAGTTCCCAAGTAAGATTCATTATTCTATAGATTCTTGTATAGTTTTTTATCTTTCGGATCTTAAAATACAAAAACTAGTTATCATTTTCTGAACTAGAGAGAAAACGGTTAAATCATTGGAATTTTTAATTTCTTGTTCTCTTGTTATTTTCATATATAAATTAAGTATGGTGAGTTATGGAATTGAAACAAAATCAGATAAATAAATAAAAAAAATTAATGACAATTATTGTGTGTGAGATGGTTAATTTGGATACTATTGATTCATTTGTGTCATTTCTTTAATGACTCAAAGTTGAAACATTATTGGCACGAGTTCCCAAAAAAAAGAAAAAAAAAAAAGAAAAGAAGAAGAAGTAGTTGAAACAAAAGTAATTTGGTAAAATTGGCGTATTCAATTTGAGAGCCTCACTATTATTATATATAAGAGCAAAATTATAAATATGGAAAGAGAATAAAATAAAGTCAGAATAAAAATAAAATCTCTAAATATTAGCCTATAATGAAGACCCAATAAATTTGCCACTATTCTTGAGTCAACTTATAGATATCATTTCTAATACTTCTCCTCAAGCTGGAGTAAATATGTTGACTAAACTCACCTTGACTATGGAAGACCGGAAGAGAAGGCCCAACAGACTTTGTAAACACATTTGCAGTCTGTTCTGAATAGGGAACAAAAATAGGATTAATGATACCTGATCGAACATTCTCTCGAATAAAGTGAATATCTACCTCAATATGTTTTGACCTTTCATGTAAGACAGAATCAGAAACAAGCATAATGATTGATTTATTGTCACAAAACAACCTTAAAGAACCTTTTTCTATAAGACCCAACTCTCCCAAAATTGATTGAAGCCAAAGGAGCTCACAAGTACCTTGAGTCATATCTCGGTATTCAACTTCAGCAGAGGATCTGGAGACAACAGCTTGCTTCTTACTCTTCCATGATATGAGATGATTACCATAGAAAGTACAGAAGCTAGAGGTAGAGCATCTATCTGTCTTACATCCAGTATAGTCTGCATTAGTAAAGCATGAGAGTCTAGACTGATTTCCTGAGACATAGAACAGACCAAGGCCGGGCATGACTTAAGATACTTCAAAATATGGTAGATTGCATCCATATGAGCTGATCGAGGGGCATTCATGAATTGACTAACCACATTAACAACAAATGTCAAGTCAGGCCTTGTATTAGTCAAATAGATAAGACGACCTACCAAACATTGATACCCGGACGGACCTGGAAGTAATTCCCACGACTCAACAGAGAGTCTGAGATTGGGGTCCATAGGAGTGAAAGTCGGCGATACCCAAACATGCTAATATCTTAAAGAAGATCCAAAATATATTTTATTTGAGATAAGAAAATTTCACGACGGAATCTAGAAACCTCAATTCCAAGAAAATATCGATGGGGACCTAGGTTTTTCACATCAAAAGACTTTTGAAGATGAAGTTTCGCCTGATCAATCCCTGAAGCATCATCACCTGTGATAATAATATCATCCACATATACCAATATATAACATAATGCAGTGACTATCATAGCGACGTCGAATAAAGCAAGTATGGTCTGAGTGGTAGCGCACAAAACCCATGGATAGAACAACATCGCTCCGAATAACTTTCTCATAAATCATAATTTCGAATTATTAACGCTAACATAAAAAATAATAATAATAATTTGGGAGCCACATATAAACTTTATGATTTAAAAATTAAAAGAAGGGGGACTGTAATTCTAATTCGTCAAAGCCCCATCCAAAGAAGAAGAAGAAATCACGTTTGTTCCTCACCAGGCTTGTCTACTTCCATGATTAACTTTTTTTCGGTAATTTTTTAAAATGATTAACTTATTATAATAAAACTTATTATACTCACTTTAAAAAAATTTAGTATAAAAAAAATCTTCTTTTTCAAATAATATTTATGAAAATTTAATAAATTACGTAAAAAATATATATATATTTTCTTTTTAATGCAATATATTCATGAAAATTAAGAAATTACTTAAATTGTTTCAAAATTTTCTATTTAAGATTTTTATTTAAATATTTAATTAAAAAAATTAAAGGCAAACTTATGCAAATTTAATGGAGAATATTTCATCAAATTAGTATTAATTTTTTCATAATTTATTTTAATAAGAAAAATATATTAAGTGTAATTCAATAAAAAAAGGTATTATGGTCATTTAATGACAAATAGGTAAGACAATGGGGCATTTTCAACTAAATGTGATATTTTAGGGGGTTTTATGCACAAAACATAATTCAGGAGGATTTTTTGCAAATTTAAACATAATTGATGGAGTTTTTTTGCACTTTACCCAAAAAAAATAATAGTAAAAATAAAAAACCACTGGTAGTCTTTGGCGTATATATCTTCAATTCAATTATGAGCCTGGTTATAGTTAATTAATTATCTATACATGGTCAGTGCTCAACGAATATACTTTCAAAAAACAAAAAACGCCTCAAGGAATATGCTGAATGCGAGTCTTAATTAACAAACTCGGGCAATTAAATTATGTAAAAACCATTGTATTATTATGTGAAAGCCATTGTAGCAAAAAGTACAGAACCAACCCACTTATTTTAGTGCAGAATATGATTATCTGCTTATTTTATCAAACTAACCATTTCGTGGGTATTTACTAAAAAAAACGAAAAAAAAGAAAAGAAAAGAAGGAACCATTTCGTTGGTACCTTCTTATCTATTTGCCTATTTTATATGCGTGTGATGCAACATGGTATCATGTAGTGAAACTAATTATCCACTTTATCTTACGCTTTTACAATTTCAAAGTTATTAATTTGCATTTTACTTGAGATTCTCGAAAGTACTTTCTTTTGCGTCGGAATGCTATGTTAATTAGTTTTTTAAAATAATAATAATAATAGGGAACTAATAGTCCGGCCGACTCCGCGATTCTTTCATCTTTTTGTCAAAATGTCGATTACATTAGACAATTTTATCATTGTGTTAAAACATGCCCTCCTCCTGTACAAGCAAGGGAGGAATTAGTAATTGGCTAACCTGGGCTATAGTTCAGGTCCAATTTAAAAAAAAAAAATAGTGCTATTATTCTTATATGTCTATGTATTATTATTCTTCTTCTTATCCGCCCAGTTCAGCCAATTCATAATATTTCTATAAATAAAAGAAATTATAAAATTTACAAAGGTCTAGCCTTAAATATGAACATGTCAGCGAACAATGAACAACTCAATCACAAAAGAAACCATAATAAAACATAACAGGTCCAGCCAACAAACCAAGCACATTGTTGGTCTATAGACTAAGACCTAAACTCTTCGTGTGTAAAGCACAAAGGCATAAGTGGATGGATATCATGTTTTGTTATTGTTAATCTAGTGAAATATTGATTTTTATTTTTGTACAAAAAAAAAAAAAGAAAAAAAAAAAGGCTTTGTTGATGACTCGATGTTTCATGTTAAATTGAATAATTTACTATATAATGAATTAATAACTGGTCAGGGGCGGAGTATATAGGTCTTACTTTCTAATGTGAATTTATTAATAAGGAACATATATATTTTGTTTTAACAAACAAAAACATATATATTTTGCATTCTTGCAGGTGTTTGTTTTAATACTAGTATGAAACATATTTCAGTAGATTATTGACTGTGAAAACACAATAGAGTTTGGAAGTGTAAATGTGTTAAAAGGTTGTAAATTATTAGGTTTAATTGGATGACTTATGCATGGGAATTATGTATTAAGAATATGGATGACACACTAAACAATCATGTGTTTAATTATTTTTAGCCCCCTTACTTTGTAATCCTGACTTCGCCCTGTATATAAGTAGAATACATAAATATTATCAAACGGCTCCTTAATTGTCAATACATATTTTTACATATAATTGAGTGAAAAAAGAAAGTTCAGTGGCCTCCTTCTGTAGACTGTAGTCCTCGTTTATCTAATTGTTTTTATCTTTTTTTATTTTTTATTTTTTATTTTATTTTATACTCCCATACATAGGTCATGAAAAAAGGTATGATGTTGCTCTCATCCTATTAATCAATAATTTCCATCGTAAAATATATATAGATTATTACTCTATTTATAAATATAAATCATATGAACTTATTATTATTATATTCTTAGTCACATATGTCTTCATGGAGATTCAAACTTTTGACTTTTCTTTGAAAAATAGTACCGTTAGACTACAAGTTTGTTAATTGTATGAACTTATTATTAAAATATTAAGCCGGTAGAAAAATTTGCTACATAAAAATTTACCAAATATGGACTATTTTACACACCCAAAACAAGTCTAAACTGGGCAAGTTAATAAACTTGTTCCAAGTTAATTGAGTGATACGAAGTCAGACTTGTTTACCAAAAGTAAACGGCATAATTGCACCATTATATGTAAGTAGAGTTTGATTTATTCATAAGCATGCACTTTGATTTATTGGCGATGCGACTGATTCCTTTGATTAGATTGGAAATAAATATGATGATAGGGAAGGCGGAAGAGAAAATTTGATTTGGTTAAGTTATATTAGAATTAAAAAAAAAATCAGAGTGGAAAAAAAGAAAATATATATATATATATATATATATATATATATATATATATATGGTGATTTCTCTTTTCCTCACTAATACGAAACTAAAAATTCTCCAAAATTGAATAGGGAAAGCAAAAGAAATTAATCACAAACTGATTACTTGTTCTCGTATTCCATAAATTTAAATTTATGAAGTAAAAATTTATAGAACTATACAAATACAGTATTATCTATATTCTATATAAACCAAATATTTATTGTTTTAAAATTTATATAACCAAATATTTCTTGTTTTAAAATTTATATTAAGGAATTTTTAATCTATAATTTATTCATCTTATTAAAGTTCTACAAAATGTATTTGTCTTTTAGAAAAAAAAGTAGGGATCGAGAATAATTTTACAAAAGGTGACGTTTGAGGAGAAGTGTTGTATATATCCAATTTTGGAGAGGGTTTAGTTTTTTGTTTGTGAGGGGAAAAAGAAAACACCATATTTTTTTGTTCTTTTTGTTTTGTTTATTATTATTATTATTATTATTTATACAACGTAGGAGGGGACTCTTTCTTTTTTAATTTTGACGTGGCTCAGCCAAATCAGATTCGGGGAGCTTTGGGTTGCCTAACATTTGTGGATAGTAAGTAAAAATTATTATTATTATTTGTTACATTGACAAAAAAAACATACTCATCCTCACATGGGTACACTTTTACCCTCCCCGGACTTAAACCCCTCCCTCCCTTCTTATAGTCCTTTCAGTTACATATGGTGCCTAGTCCTTTCAGATGGATGCCAGGCAGGTACTAACGTAATCTAATCAACATACTAACGTAATCTAATCAACACTCACCAAGTTTAATGTTCTCAGCAAAAATTGTTATACTCCGTACAAAAATACTGCATCTAAGCCCGTTAATATATCACATTAAGCTAGCTATTGATAGAATTTGCTCAACTAATATCCTTTCAAAAAAACAAAAACGCCTCAAGGAATATGCTGAATGCGAATGTTAATTAACAAACTAAGGCAATTATATTATGTGAAAACCATTGTATTATTATGTGAAACCATTGCAGCAAAAAGTACATAACCAACCCACTTATTTTAGTGCAGAATATGATTATCTGCTTATTTTATCAAACTAACCATTTCGTGGGTATTTACTGAAAAAAAAAAGAAAAAAAAAGAAGAAGGAACCATTTCGTTGGTACCTTCTATCTATTTGCTTACATTTTTTTGATCTAATTGTTGTCAAACCAGAACTGGGCTTGAAGATAGTCAATAACCTTGTTGTCCACTTGGAAAGCCTTGGTGAGAACATCAACAGAAATGGGTGGTTTCGATCCAAAGACCGCGTTAGCAATGGTGATAACTCCGGGGTTTTGGCTGCTCAGGCCGGCAAAAGCTACTGCATTAGTCTTTCCCACGTTGAATTGGAAATGAATGAGACCAATTGGAAACACAAAAACATCTCCAGGATTTAGGACCTTGGTGAAGAGACGATTTTTTTCACCATTAATATTGGAGGTCACAAAGCCTACATAGAGAGTGCCCTCAACCACAACCAGTACTTCAGTTGCGCGTGGGTGCGTGTGGGGTGGGTTGAGGCCCTTAGGTGCATAGTCAATGCGGACTAAGGATACACCCAAAGTGTTGAGTCCTGGTAGTGTATCAACATTCACAGTTGTCACATTTGACCCAACTGGATTGTTTGTGTTTCGAGGAATATTAAGACCTGAAAAGGAGAAATCTTCGGCTTTGGCAAGCTTTGGGTCCTTGCAAAATTTCCCATTCACAAACACTGCAGCCAAAACAATAGCAGCCGTTACATTAATTGAGCTCTAAATTTTTTTTATTAGAACATGCAATGAAAAATATGGACTATATATATGCTAGCTATTTTACCAACAAAATTAAAGCATGCATGAGAAAGCAAAAAATAAGACTAGGGGATGCTTACACACACCCACACACCCACCCACACACACATACCAGCAGACTTCATATCATCAAAAGCAACACAGAAGTCCTGGAGAGGGCTTGGGTCAGATGCATATGAAAGTGAGAATTGAAGGGCCAAGATGGCTACAAGGAAGTGAGTGGCGGCCATCTTAATTTGGAGTGAATAATATTGTTTGTAGGATTGGTAATTGGGTTAGAGGTGATAAATGTAGTATGGCAAAGGTGGCTATTTATAGATAGAGATTAGGAAGACTCGTCTTTGAGTGAGTACTGATAGGATAGTAGGATGTCCCAAATTGTCTTCGTTAGGTTTCTATTTTTAATTACATGGTCGAGTGATTCTCCAACTACTGCGTATATCCACACACGACTGACTCTTTCAATATATTGAGTCGGTCGTTTTTTCCATATCTCACTTTCCGTTGCTGTTTCTCCTTCTTCTAGATTCATGTTAATGTTTGAGAAAAAATATTAATTGAAGTCGACATTTTAACCCCTCAGGAGGTAGATGGGATTGTTGGATGGAGCTAAACCATGCCTCAATATTCCAAGCCATTTACCTTTTCCGTTTTAATTTTTAATTTTTAATTTTTTTTTTTTTTTTGTACCAATCTCCTTCATTAGATTGGGTAAGTGAAACAATTCTCTTGTTATATAAATAAAAAGGGGAAAAAATATAATATATATATAAAAAGAAGAAGATAAAATTAGCATTGACCAAGTCTCCTTTTCTTTTCATCCAAATAAAAGGATTATTGGATCATGATTCTAACCTTTTCCTCACCGGTCAGTACCTATTGTGTGCACTATAAAATTAATAGTTTAATATATTATATCACAACACAATCGATAATTTTACACATTTATGTAATTATTATGTTGTCAATTTAAAATTGTTACGTGGATTTAATTTTTATTTTTATTTATTTTTCCAAACATTTAAGCAATATTGTATATATGTATAAAAATGTACATGACCACTTGGCCCAAGCAGCCCAACAATGGGCGGCCCAAATATTGTGCAACATCAGCGAGGCCCAAGGCCACGTGGACCTAAATTTACACAAGTAAGAATCATGATACAGGTGTCTCCTTTTATGATGCATAGGGGTCTCCTTTTATACTTCTTTCCTTGCTCTCCTCATTAAAAATTAAAAAGAAAAGAAAAGGGATAAGAGGAATCCAGTCCTTTATTTCCTTTCGTTTTCGCCAAATTTCTTCAATCTAAAATCACCCTTAGGCTTGTAGCACAGTATCTCTTCTAAATCCCTTTCTTTACATTTTTGCCTAATAATAATATAAAAAAGAATAATGATGTTCACACCGAATACTTGTAATAAATATCTAATCAAATAATTTTTAATTGACTATTTATACCAAGTACAACTAAGTGGAGGGCTCCACTTCTTTATTTGTTGCATAATTAGCCAATTAAAAAAGTAGTTCTAGCAATTTACTGCAACTATTCGGTGTAAGAATCATTTTTCTATATATATATAAAAAAAAGAGTTGCAACCATCTCCTATTATAGGCATATTTTATGTATAACCTTTTACATTATGATAAAAAAAATAAAAAAATAAAAGGCTTTCACCCTTTTTCTATCTGTTTGTATCACTTACTTTTGTGACTTATTTAATGAAAATAGGATTCATCTCATTAATTAACATCTCATAATAAATAAACTAGAACATTTTTCCATAGGATAAACACTAATCTAAAATCACACATAGGATAACCCACTGGTCAGCAAGGTCCCTCTCACATGCAGGTAGACTTCAGCTTATTAAAGTTATCCCAAGTTTGTATTGGATGCAGGGATAATTGAAGACATGCACAAAGGTTGCATATATACTTCATTGTGAACAACTTTTGGAATTTCCCTCAATGCCTCACCACTGCCATTCCAAAAATCCTTTGCCTGCAACCACCATGCTCTTCCAAAAATGACAATCTATTCTGGAGTGCATCACCAACAAGGCCATTTTCCTTGAAACATTCCATGGCTCAGCTTCCAGTCACTAGCTCTATCCAAAAGCTCTTTATATTTAAGTTTATCTTTGTATATAATCTAACCTACATGCAACATTAAAGTGTTAGGCTTGTGGTTTAAGTTCTTGAAGATTATTGAATGCTGAAAATTTCCCACGGTCTGACTTGGTTCTGCTGTAATACGTCTTGAGTTCAATTGGTTGCACCTTTTTTTTTTTTTTAAGGTAAATGGGTAAGCTTTAAATAATAATAAAAAAATGTGCATGAGGTTCAAGTGAGGAATTCATTACAGCCAAGACCAAGGGCCCATATCCTGATACATCTTGTCACCTCCGGGATGAACAGAAAACTCAGAATGGTGAGTCTCAGTCATCACATCCTTCCTCAAATCATCAGTAGAAGGTACCACTAACCGTCCCTTGTACCTCAAACCTCCATCAGTCTCAACATAGTAGAATGGAACCTTTCCGTAAGCTATCTCTGCAACTTTGTCAATGCACTGCTGATCCGTGAGTTGTGCCTTCAAAACTTTGTGAATGATAGAAGGTGTAACTACCATGCAAGCCATGAAAGCATCCGACAATTCATCCACCTTCTTCAACGCATTCCACTCAGTAGTGAATAGAGCGGAAAGATTACCAATAGATCGGCGACTGAGTGCATCCGCCACCACTTTCGCTTTCCCTGGATGGTACTGTATAGAAAAGTGATAGTCTTTCACAAACTCCAACCACCTACGTTGTCTCATATTCAGCTCCCGCTGACTGAACAAATACTGCAAACTCTTGTGATCGTTGAATAATCTGAAGGACTCACTTAACAAATAATGCCTCCAAATACGTAAGGCAAAGACCACAGCTGCCAACTCCAAATCATGTGTTGGATAATTAAGCTCGTGAGGCTTAAGCTTCCGAGATCCATACGAAATTAGTCGCTCCTCCTGCATCAAAACACATCTAAGACCCTGCAAAGAAGCATCCGTGTAAACCAGATACTCTATTCCACTCTGTGGGGTAGACAAAACCGGTGCAGAAGTTAACTTAGTCTTTAGCTCATCAAAAGCTTTCTGACAATGTTCATCCCACACGAACCGTACACCCTTCTTAGTCAGATAAGTGAGTGGTCCTGCTATCTTTGAGAACCCCTGAATAAACCTCCTGTAATATCCTGCCAAACTGAGGAAACTCTGAATCTCAGTAGGTGAAGTAGGCTGTCCCCACTCAACCACCGTTGAAACCTTGGCTGGATCTACCGCTATTCCCTTTTTTGACACCACGTGACCCAGAAACTTCACCTCCCGATGTCAAAATTCACATTTCTCGAACTTGGCATACAACTGGTGCTCACGAAGTGTCTGCAACACAATCCGTATATGTCTAGCATGGTCGTCCTCTGACCTCGAGTAAATCAAAATGTCATCTATGAAGACAATGACAAATTGATCCAAGTAAACCCTGAAGACTCTGTTCATTAAATCCATGAAAACCGCTGGTGCATTAGTCAACCCAAACGGCATCACCCGAAACTCATAGGATCCATATTTAGTGAGAAACGCTGTCCTTGGAACATCCTGCTCCCTAACCCGAAGTTGATGATATCCAGACCGCAGATCAATCTTAGAGAAATAGGTAGCTCCCTTCAACTGATCAAAAAGATCATTAATCCTGGGTAAAGGGTACTTGTTACGAATAGTAACTTTGTTAAATTCCCTATAATCTATACACAGACGAAGCAAACCATCATTCTTCTTCACAAATAAAATCGGTGCTCCCCAGGGTGAAGAATTCCTACGAATAAAACCCTGGCTGAGTAATTGCTGAATCTGATCACTCAGCTCTCGCATCTCTACTGATGCCATCCTATATGGTACCCTAGTAATAGGCATAGTGCCTGGAGCTAAGTCTATCACAAATCGATCTCGCGACTAGGCGGCAACCCTGGAATCTCCTGAAATACATCCGAGAAATTCTGTACAATTGGTATGTTATCTAATGATACAAGAGTCCTCTCATCCGTTTCCTCCTCCATATGAAACAAATAGGTACTAGTGACTCCGCTAGAACTCAACATAGCGACGATGTACATGTCCTAACCAGGTATGGTGAAAACCTTTGACCTATTATAATAGTTAACTTGGGCATGATAGGTAGGATAACTAACCCATCCTAAGTAACACAGCATGAGTGTGCATATCCAGAACCACTAGATTGGCTAAAAATCTGAGCTTGCAACACCTAGTGTCACCAACTAAACTATCCAAACCAGAATGCTGAATACTCCGTAGAGCAAAACACGTAGGTAACTAAAATACTCCGAAGCTACTCCCTTTTAGATTGTCGTGCTATTTTGGGAATTCATCATTCGGAAACAAAACTACCATATCAACTTACACAAGTTCGTTTATAAATTCCTTGGTAATCGTCCTGCCTCAACACAACATTCATATAAACAAATATTTGTTTGTTTGCCCAAAACCAATCACTCTACTATGATAATCCTTTATTATTGCAACAAAAAAAATCATAATAATAATAATAAAATAGTTCCAAAAACCATTTATAGAAGAACCCTCAACATACTGTAAACCATAACCTGACAAAAGAATAATTATAAAATATTCTTTAACATGCTACTAGTGTGTGTGATTAAATCTGTACCACACTTTTATTAATACCTTCACTACTATAAATAACTAAAAATTACTCCTAAAGAACCATCCTCCTTGTGAGTAGGTACCCTCTTGCCTAAACGGCCCGGTATCTCCTCGTTTAGGACACTGCTTGAAAGTATGACCCATCTCCCCACAAGTATAGCAAGTACCCTAAAAAGTACCAAATGGTCTCCTCTGCTGGTTAGCCTCTGACTGATCCCATCTTGCCTGTGGTCCCTCCTTATGTTGCTTCTGAGCGAACCTAGGACATTGTCTGGTTGTATGCCCATAATCTCTACAGGCATAACAATGTCCTTTAAACACATTCTGCACCACTGGTACTGCTTCTAGTGTCTGCTGAACGTGTAGTTGATTCTGCTACAGCTTGAACAATGGTGTAAACTAACTGAGGAGTATACTCTGGTTTCCTGCCTTGATTGTAGAGTCAGTTGTTCGTCCTCCTGCTCCTCTTCCTCCTCCTGAAACTTGGGCAGTAGCTGTTCTTCCCCCATTTGCTGACGCTGTAGGAAATCTTGCTTCCTACATGTCGCTTCCCTTCGTCGCTGATTGTTCC